TTTTTAGTGGAGACAGGGTTTCACCGTGTTAGCCAGGATGGTTAACCTGGTGATCTCCTGACTTCGTGATCCACCCGCCTCGGCCTCCTACAGTGCTGGGATTACAGGTGTGAGCCACTGCGCCCGGCCGAATTTCCTTCCTTTTTAAGGCTGAGCCATATTCCATTGTCTGGATGGACCATGTTTTGTTTATTCATCCATCCATTGATAGACGTGTGAGTTGTTTCTATCTTTTGGCTCTTAAGAGTAATACTGCCATAAGCCTCGGTTACAAATTTATCTTTGAGACTGTGCTTCCCGTTCTTCTGTGCACAGATGCAGAGTGGAATTTCTGGGTCATCTAATTCTGTGTTTAGCTTTTGAGGAGCCACATTTCTGCTTTGCAGTGGCTGCACCACATTCCCACCAGCAGCCCAAGCATTCACTCATTCATTAGTTCCTTTTTTGTTTCGATTTTGTTTTTCTGAGACGGAGTCTCACTCTGTCGCCTAGGCTGGAGTACTGTGGTGTGATCTCAGCTCACTGCAACCTCCGCCTCCTGAGTTCAAGCAATTCTTCTGCCTCTGCCTCCCGAGTAGCTGGGATTATAGGTGCACGCCACCACGCCTGGTCAATTTTTGTATTTTTGGTAGAGACAGGGTTTCACCACGTTGACCAGGTTGGTCTCAAACTCCTGACCTCGGGTGATCCACCCGCCTTGGCCTCCCAAAGTGCTGGGATTACAGGCGTGAGTCACCTCGCCCAGCCACTAGTTTCTTTTTAAATCCCATTTCCCTTCTAGTGTCTAAGCCAGGCCAGGGCATATGGTCAGCCCTGTTCCACTTGTGCCTGGTGTGCAGGGTGAGATGCATACAAGCTACACCACTGCAGCCACGGTGAAGTGCTTAGCACTAAGTTCCGGTCTCCAGACGTGATCCATGCAGAAGCTGTATTTACTGAAGACACTTAAGATGAGTCATTTTCTAGTATTTACCACACTTAGCCACTGGCTTTTTCTCTTTGTTTAGGAAAATTCCCATCACTTTTTTTTTTACAGAGAATTTTCTCTACTTTTTGTTTTTCTTTTTCTTTCTTTTTTTTTTTGAGACGGAGTCTTGCTCTGTCACCAGGCTGGAGTGCAGTGGTGTGATCTCAGCTCACGGCAACCTCCACCTTCCAGGTTCAAGTGATTCTTCTGCCTCAGCCTCCCAAGTAGCTGGGACTACAGGCATGTGCCACCATGCCTGGCTAATTTTTTGTATTTTAGTAGAGATGGGGTTTCACCACGTTGACCAAGATGGTCTCCATCTCCTGACCTTGTGATCTGCCCACCTCAGCCTCCCAAAGTGCTGGGGTTACAGACATGAGCCACTGCACCCGGCCTCTTTTTCTTTTTTTTGAGACAGGGTCTTACTCTGTTGCCTAGGCTGGAGTGCAGTGGTGTGATCACAGCTCGCTGTAGCGTTGACCTCATGGGCTCAAGTGATCCTCCCGCCTCAGCCTCCCCAGTAGCTGGGACTACAGGTGTGCGCCACCAAGGCCAGCTAATTTTTGTATTTTTTGTAGAAACAGGGTTTCTCCATGTTGCCTAAACTGGTTTCAAACTCCTGGACCCAAGTGATCCTCCCACAATGGCCTCCCAAAGTGCTGGGATTACAGGCGTGAGCCACCACCGACAGAATTCTCTGTCAAATCGTATTCCTGTTTAAGGGGGAAATGGCTCTTAGAACTACACAGTACCGGGAAGTTAAGGGCTTATTCAGGATAGTTTCTCTTGACTCAGCATGCTGTTTTGTTGTTTGATCAGTCAAATTCAAGCAGAGTTGTTGAAGCTGCCACACATGGGGGGCACCTGAAGCCTCTGCGGTCGGTGTGCGAGGTGAGAGGGGCCGAGGTGACCAGGCCTCACCACTCCTGTGCGCCTAACCTTGGCCTCCCCTTGCAACCTTAAGCTAAATGTTGTTCTTGATTGTCTTTTCGTTTTCTGTCCATAAATACTCTTTGCTCATTGAGAATTATTGCTACACATATGCAGTATTAATTTGGCAGTAAGAAACAAACTTCTACATTCTAAAGCTTGTATCTTTCCTCTTTTACTTCTGGGGAGTTCAGTTGTCATCTGATCCCATGATCCCAAGTATGAGTTAGCATTAAATGATGACCTCGGCTGGGCACAGTGGCTCACACCTCTAATCCCAGCACTTTGGGAGGCCGAGGCAGGAGGATCACTTGAGCCTGGGCAACAAAACAAGACCCTATGTCTACCCCAAAAAAATTAGACAGGTACAGTGGCGCTCACCTATAGTCCTAGCTACTCAGGAGGCAGAGCAAGACTCTGTCTCTAAAAAAATAATTTTTTAAATTAAAAAAATAGAAATAAGTGACAGCCTTATTTATTTCAGTTCCTTTGTTTCTTTTTAAAAATAAAATAGAGATGGAGTCTCCCCATGTTGCCCAGGACGGTCTCAAACTCCTGGACGTCAGTGATCCTCCCCACTCAGCCTCCCAAAGTGCTGGGATTGTAGGCGTGAGCCGCCGCGCCTGGCTAGCTTTGTGGTTCTTAATGGGTTTTTCAGTAGTTTTGTGCTGGTTTGGAGTTTGGAACTACAGAGAAAGCCTGTAGGATTAACATGAAAGCATTTTTTTCTTCCTTTTTTTTTTTTTTTTTGGTGACAAGGTCTCACTCTGTCTCCCAGGCTGGAGTGCAGTAGCATGATCTCGGTTCACCGCAGCCTATACCTCCTGGGCTCAGTCTCCCAGGTGGCTGGGACTACAAGTGCGTGCCACAACACCCGGCTAATTTTTGTATTTTGAGTAGAGACAGGATTTAGCCATGTTGCCCAGGCAGGTCTCGAACTCCTGGACCTCAAGCAATCTGCCTGCATCGGCCTCCCAAAGTGCTGGCATTATAGGCATGAGCCCACCATGCCCAGCCTTCTTTTTTTATTTTAACCATCCTATCACACAGAAGAAAGAGAAGGCGTTGTATTCTGTCGCCCAGGCTGGAGTGCAGCAGTGCGATCATGGCTCACTGCAGCCTCGACCTCCTGGGCTCAAGTGATCCTCCCACCTTGGCCTCTCCCAAAAAGCATTTTCACTCGTGTGGTGAGCGGTGCCCTTCCACTCGTGCTCGTGGTGTCCTCTGTCCCTGCAGTGAGGGCTCAGCGGCCGTGCCCATTCATCTACACCTGAGACTGTGCATCGGGGAGGCCCCAGGCAGAGTCGCATCACCGTCCTGATGCTGGGAGTGGGGCCGGCCCTCGTCATTAGGTGGCTCATGGTCCGGGAATAAAGCTGCTTCCCAGAGCACCAGAGGCCGCTGGTGAGTCTGTTTCTTCAGTGCCCACGCACCGCGTGGAAGGAGCCCAGACACACACTCTGTGTCAGCCCAAGTTGCCAGAGATGACTGGAAATGTTGGTGCCTTTGATGGTGTCTCTTTTCAGCCGTGCTAAAATATGTGTCCAAAACTGGTGGCTTTTTTTTCCATTCTATATAACACCAGGCTTGAATGCACCACTCATGCTGGGTTTAACCGACCCCTTGTGACAAGGGGTGGCCTCTGTGGGGGCAGCCAGCTCACCCTCTGCTTCTCACTGTCAGTCGGAAGTTCGTCAGCGCAGGAGCATCTGAAGTCTGTTGTGTGTCATGTCACAGTTGCTTTTGTGAGCTGTCTACCCCGTCTTTTAGGGAAATAGGCCTACGCCCATGCAAGTGGGCAGGTGTCATCTTGCCTAGGTTAGTACCGTGGCTACCTGAGTTAACAGCTCTAGATATTGTCCCGAACATTTTCTTGGGAAATTTATTCAATTTTGGGTAATTCTCCCAGAGGCGTCCTGCTGTTAAGGTTGTTTAATGGGTTCTATAGGACCTTATTTTACTGTGCAATTTGAAAATGTGTTGAATGTCTCTGCACATGGGGTGCTGTGCTAGGCATGGCGAGGACACGCGGGTGAGTTGGTCAGAGGTGGTGCTACCTCATGACTGTGGTCTCTGTGGGCATGGGAGGCATGTCATGCCTCACCTTCCCCACACCAAGAACCTGGCACATGGCCTGGTGTGCTGCAGGAGCTCAGCTGGAATCTGGGCTGGTGGGATGCATGCAGGCATGGAGGCAGTTGGGTGGACGGATGCTTTACTTCTTCCTGTGCAGAACCATCTCCACCATCTCCATCATCTAGGCCAGGAAGTTTCAGCTCTGATGTGGATTTCCTCTGAGAGCTGGGTGTGTGTGTGTGTGTGTGTGTGTGTGTGTGTTTGCTGGGAGTGCTGTGTGAGAGACAACTTGAGTGAGTGAGAACCACATCTACATAGTTTCCCTTCCATGTTTAGACTTCGTGAAGATGCGTCAACTGTGAAATCTGCCTGGGATGCTCAGATTGCTCAACTGTCTAAGGAGATGGTCTCCAAAGACCTTCAGATTCAGACGCTGCAGGAAGAAGAGGTGAAGCTCAGGGCACAGGTGGCCCGATCCCAGCAGGACATTGAAAGGTAACTGTCCCCAGGCAGTTATTTCCATTTAGTGTCTCCTATGGGCAGGTGCTGTTGTAGGTACTAAGGATTCAAAACTGAACAGATCAAGTCCCTGGCCTCACATTTTCTTGGGGGAGAAAGACAGTGAACAAGACAGATAGAATGTCTAGTCACGCGGGGTGGTGTGGGAAGACACGCAGAAGGGGCCGCCAGCTGGAGGGAGCGTGGCCAGGGGACGGTGTTTCTCAGTCTGTGATAAGAGCCATAAAGGTGCTTCTGCTGTTTGATCCTGCACTGAGAATCTCCTGTTGCCAGGCGTGGTGGTTCACACCTGTAATCCTGGCACTTAGGGAGGCAGAAGCAGGAGGATTGCTTGAACCCAGGAGTTGGAGACCAACCTGGTTAACATAGCGAGACCCCATCTCTGCAAAAAGGGAAACAAAAACAAGGAATCTCCTCATCTGTCTTGTCTGATTGTTCATGTCCTCATGTTTTTCCTCCATTGGGGTGAACACTTACTTGAACAAAGATAACTTCTATTTCCCATACACATTCAACTTTATTACAGAATACATTTGCTAAAACTCATCCATTTTAACTCTACACTTGATGAATTTTGATGAATGTGTATGCTGTATGATATCATTTGGCTCTATGTCTCCCCCAAATCTCATCTCAAATTGTAATCCCTATGTGTCAAGGCAGGGCCCTGATGGGAGGTGATTGGATCATGGGGGTGGTTTCCTGCATGCTGTTCTTATGATACTGAGTGCGTTCTGATGGTTTAAAAGTGTTTGGTGAGCCGGGTGTGATGGCTCACGCCTGTAGTCCTAGCACTTTGGGAGGCTAAAGTGGGCAGATTACGGGGTCAGGAGTTCGAGACCAGCGTGGTCAACATGGTAAAACCCCGTCTCTACTAAAAATACAAAAATTAGCCAGTCATGGTGGCTCACACCTGTAGTCCCAGATACTCCAGAGGCTGAGGTGGGAGAATCACTTGAACCCAGGAGGCGGAGGTTGTGGTGAGCCCAGATCATGCCACTGCATTCCAGCCTGGGCAGCAGAGTGAGATTCTGTCTCAAAAAAATGAATAAACAAATAAAAAATAAAATATAAATAAATAAATGTTTGGTGGGCCGGGCGTGGTGAGCACTTTGGGAGGCTGAGGCAGGCGGATCACCTGAGGTCAGGAGTTTGAGACCAGCCTGGCCAACATGGTGAAACCCTGTCTCTACTAAAAATACAAAAATTATCCACATGTGGTGTCACGTGCCTGTAATCCCAGCTACTCGGGAGGCTGAGGCAGGAGAATCGCTTGAACCTGGGAAGTGGAGATTGCAATGAGCCAAAATCATGCCACTGCACTCCAGCCTGGGCGACAGAGCGAGACTCTGTCTCAAAAATAAATAAATAAATAAATAAATAAATAAGCGTTTAGCAGCTCCCCCCACCACACTCTGTCTTTCTCCTGCCAACATGTCAGACGTGCCTTGTTTCGCCTTTGCCTTCCACCATGGTTGTAAGCGTCCTGAGGCCTCCCCAGCCATGTGAAACTGTGTGTCAATTAAACCTCTTTTGTTTATAAATTACCCAGTCTCAGGTAGTTCTTTATAGCAGGGTGAAAAAGGATGACTACGCCGTATAATCACCACTTCAGGCAAGCTATGGAATCTTCTGTCAACACACACTTCCCTCCTGCCCTCCGCAGTCAGGCCCCTGTCCCAGTGTGCTTTTTTTTTTGAGACAGAGTCCCGCTCTGTTGCCTAGGCTGGAGTGCAGTGGCACGATCTCAGCTCCCTGCAACCTCTGCCTTCCAGGTTCAAGCAGTTCTCCTGTCTCAGCCTCCCAAGTTGCTGGGACTACAGGCACATACCACCAGGCCCAGCTAATATTTTTTTGTATTTTTAGTAGAGACGGGGTTTCACCGTATTGGTCGGGCTGGTCTGAAACTCCTGACCTCAGGTGATCCACTCACTTCAGCCTCCCAAAGTGTTAGGATCACAGGTGTGAGCGTCTGGCCTTTTTTTTTTTTTTTTTTTTTGAGATAGAGTCTTGCTCTATCGCCCAGGCTGGAGTGCAGTGGTGCGATCTCAGCTTACTGGAACCTCCACCTCCTGGGTTCAAGCAATTCTCCTGCCTCAGCCTCCCAGAGTGCTGGGATTACAGGTATGAGCCACTACACCTGACCCTCCTGGTAATATTCTTTTGCCCACAGTCTTCTCTGTCTGATATTAACAGGGCTGCTTGAGCTTTTTCCGCTTGTTTCCCACCCTCTGCTTTAACTTGTGCTTCATCTTTTTTTTTTTCTTGAGGTGGGATCTCACTCTGTTACCCAGGCTGGAGTGCGGCGGCACAATCAGGGCTCACGCTCACTGCAGGCTCAACCTCCCAGGCTCAACTCATACTTGCACTTCAGCCTCCCAAGTAGCTGGGACTATAGGCACATACCATCACACCCAACTAATTTTTCTATTTTTGTAGAGACAGGGTTTTACCATGTTACGCAGGCTGGTCTCGAGCTCCTGGACTCAAGCCATCCTCCCGCCTTGGCCTCTCAGAGTGTTGGGATGACAGGCGCGAGCCGCCGTGCCCGGCTTGTGGGCGGCCTGTGTTTGAGTCTTCTTTTTCTAGTGTAACACTGTGCCTGTTCCTCAGGGGGTTTAGATAATTTAATTTAATGCCATTATTGATATATTTGTATATTAGGGCTTAAATCTCCACTTACTGTTTGCTATTCTCTTTATTTTATTTATTTTTTTGAGACAAGGTCTTGCTCTGTCACCCAGGCTGGAGTGCAGTGGTGCAATCTTAGCTCACTTGCAGCCTTAACCTCCCGGGTAGGTTCAAGCAATCCTCCCACCTCAGCTTCCTGAGTAGCTGGGACTGCAGGTGTGTGCTGTGATGCCTGCTTAATTTTTTGGTATTTTTGGTAGAAACGGGGTTTCGCTTTGTTGCCCAGACTGGTCTCGAACTCTTGGATTCAACTGATGGGCCCACCCCAGCCTCCCAAAAGTGCTGGGATTGCAGGCATGAGCCACCGTGCCCGGTCTATTTGCGTTCTATTATCCTCATCTGTTCTTTGTTTCTTTTTCTCTGCCTTTAAAAAAATCCATTGAATATATTTTAGAATTTCATTTTATTTCCAGTTTTCTTATTATATAAACCTCTTTGTCTTACGTGTTTAATGGTTGTTCTGAGATTTATAAGATATACAGTCTCTGTTTAATATTTACCACTCTATGTATAATATAAAACTCTTCAATTTCTGCTTGTGTTCAAGGAATGACCTCTGTTTCTGCTACTTCTTCGTTTTTTTTTTGAGAGACGGAGTCTTGCTCTGTTGCCCAAGCTGGAGTGCAGTGGCACGATCTCAACTCACTGCAACCTCCGCCTCCTGGGTTCAGGCGATTCTCCTGCCTCAGCCTCCCAAGTAGCTGGGATTACAGGCACCCACCATCGCACCCAGTTAATTTTTGTATTTTTAGCAGAGACGGGGTTTCACTATCTTGGCTAGGCTGGTCTTGAACTCCTGACCTCATGATCTACACGCCTCAGCCTCCCAAAGTGCTGGGATGACAGGCGTGAGCCACCGTGCCCAGCCTCCTCTTCCTTTTTACTATGGTTTTCTTATATTTTATGTAAGGGGAATCATTATATTTGCTTTGATCAGACTATCCTTTATAAAAATAAAAACGAGAAAGAAAAAGTTTTATACCTTTTCTAATATTTTTTTCTGATGTTCTTCATTTTTTACAAATCAGATGTAAGGTTTCCGCGTGGTATTATTTCCCTTCAGCCTCAGCCCTTCCTTTAATATGCCTTGTGGTGCGGATGTGCTGCTCAGGAATCATCTCAGCTTTTGTTTGTCTGAAACTTTGTCTCCGTATTTTCGAGGAGCATCTTCACTAGATGAGAAATTCTAGGTTGACAATGTTTCCTTTCATAGGTGAAAGGTATTTGGTCGTGTGACTACATTCCAGCCTGGGCAATAGACCAAGACTCTGTCTAAAAATAAAAATTACCGGCCGGGCGCGGTGGCTCACACCTGTAATCCCAGCACTTTGGGAGGCCAAGGCAGGTGGATCATTTGAGGTCAGGAATTGGAGACCAGCCTGACCAACACGGTGAAACCCCGTCTCTACTAAAAATACAAAAATTTAGCCGGGCGTGGTGGTGGGCGCCTGTAATCCCAGCTGCTCTGGAGGCTGAGGCGGGAGAATCACTTGAACCCGGGAGGCAGAGGCTGCAGGGAACCGAGATGGTGCTACTGCACTCCAGCCTGGGTGACAGAGCGAGGCTCGGTCTCAAAAAAAAAAAAAAA